GTACGGTAGTGGTTTTGGTGTAACTGAAAATGGCATCATATGGCTCTCTGTTTATTTTGATGTTTTGTGTGTTCCTGATTCAACACATCACACTCGGACTAATCTTAATGAAAGTTAGTGATCAGTAATATTTTCCTGGACCAAAAATAGATATCACTATATTACATAATTTAGACAAGATACATTTCCAAATTATGCAAAATTTTGCCATACATGATTATGCATTCATTACCTTTATCCATTGATTTTTTTTTAGTTGCTCGCAAAGGTATGGCTTTGGCTGATGCACCATGGGTAATAGGTGGATCATCAACAGACATTGCGCAGTCATCTTTATCATGTATACCTGGATGTAATAAAAATACGATGTTGTTACCATTCATAAACTTTCAAAGAGTATAGAAGCAGATAACAAAATTTATAAGACATTTAAAAAAAATAATCCCAATTCTATAATCTTTTAAGAGAATTAAGGCCTCATATTTTACATCTAATTGTGAAGTTAATACTTGAAGGCATGAAAGCAGTCAGCTTTGACTTTGAAAGCTTTGAAAGTCACATTTACGCTAGCTTTGCAAATCTGCAATTTGCATGACTACAAGTTCATGTGAAAAAGGATTAACTCTTAATTTATGTCAATTACACATGCTTAAAGGCTTCTAAACAATTATTTCCATGCTTGTCACGCTGTAGTAACAAGCTCCAGCCAAGCTCTGGTAAAAACATGTTTTCTAGAACTTACAGGTCGATTATGTCGTGCCAAAGTGGATGCATGTGACTATGAATATCCCAGCAGTGACTGTGTGTAATATTTATGACAATAAATAGTGTGCGAGCTGGAATTTTGGCGGATAAATGTCAAAAACACGAACCGGGAAAGGGACACGCTACTAATCTTGAATAATTAACTACTGTCAATCAAAGTCTCGTGATGTTGGACCGCTGAAACAGGATGCGTCATAGGCTATGCAAGTGATTAACAACACTCATTAGCATAGCCACACCTCCAATTGACACTTGCTCGGAGCAAGTGAATTGGGCCTTTAAGACATAAACATGGTTACTGTAAACAAAGACACTAGAAAATACATTTTCTAGTTTCTTTGCTATAAAGTACTTTATTTTCACTTGGAATTTATTTTAGCTATTCTCCCTGAAAAGATAAATCAGTGAAAATACTTTTTTTTCTTATAATTTACGCCCATCTTTTCAAAAATCAGTGAACATAAAATTTATAAAAAAAAATTCCAGCTAAAATGAAGTATTTTACAATAGTTCCAAATGAAAAATTGAAAATATTGAAATATAACTGAAAATATTTCTTTCATGGTAATCTTTCAAATTATTTATTTATTGAAATGTCACTGCAAGTGTTAAAACAAGAGATTCAATTCAATTCATTCTAAGAAATTGTATGTGTTTCAATAAACTGAACTATAGTTTTTAGCACTTCTATTATTTTCGGGGAAAGAGTTTTTTTAGGCCCCCTCACCCCTCTTCTGACTCCAACCCCTAAAATTATAATATAGTACAAGGAGACAACTTTCGTACATTAGTTGTGTTCACGTTACACGTAGTACAGACTAAGATTTAAGCTGATTTAGGCTTATCTAGCATATTTGTGTTTCGGCTAAACCCAATTGCGTCCACGTACAGAGAAGGCCAGTCGTTAGCACAGGCTAAGGGGCAAGCCGCTATGAACAAAAAAATGGATGACACGCGCGAGGTTCTATTTCTGCTGTTTCGTTTTAATTTTGAAGCGACGTGCACAGGAACACGAGAGAAGACGGACCCAACTTATTTGGATGCACAGAAACAGTAACAGAATACAGAGTTTTATTAATGCATGTCGTAGACAGCGAAACAAATTTATTTTGTCTACGATTGGTGCTGCTGTACGCTCTACTACAGCGACCCGATCAGTGTGGAAGAGTGTACACTGAGCTCGGTTGCCATTTTGGGAATGAAAAAGTTGGATATATTTGATTACGTGCATAATATTCACACCCAAAGGTCGCCGTAGAGGGCGCTTCACGCACGTTTGCTTAGCACGGACTAAGGAATTTGACCTCTTAGCCCGTACTAAGGAGCTGTGCGTGAACGCAACTAATGTGTACACCTGGTGTGTACACTGACTTGGTGTAACGTTCAAGTGCCGGAGCCTCGATTCCTCCTTTATTCCAGTAACCCGGATGTGACATTACCTCATTAATACATCGTGAATAATACATAGGAGTATCGATATACAAGTTTAATATTGGTAGATACTTGGACATTACAAAAA